ATATATATATATATATATTTTGTTAAATGCAGCGCGCGCCGAGAGGCCACAGGCGGCCGGCGCCACGGAGGGAAGTGCCCGTGGAAAAAAGGTGGCCCCTCTACAAAGTCACCCCCAGCTTTCTTTTAAATGTGAAAAACTGGGAAAAATTTTAGAAAAGAAAAGAAAAAAACAAAAAATATTTATAGACCTCTTTTAGATATTTTAATAAAAGGATACTTTGGAATTTATTAACAGCTTAAGCTGCTTTGATATTAAAAGATAGCTATAAAATCAAGATGATGTAGCAGTCGTGTCATTAAATGTACACTGAAGTCTTGTAGTTTGCCACTGGATGAGATTAAAAACAAACAAGAAGAAACCCCACAGCAAAGACTTCCTGAGCAAAGCCATTGAGAAGCACTATGAGACTGACCAAATCGAATGAACTTTTGCCCAGCGGTTCCCACCTCTGTCTGTAAGACACTGCGTCGCTTCTGCCCCAGCCAGAGACTGCCTCATAGTCCCTGAAGACTCTAAAGTGAAAACCTTGATGCCATCGAGTATGTCTTTAGTTCTGGTGGTTTTACGTTTTTTGAAACCTTTGTAAACACAGAATGTCCCGTGCGGTTGTGTATGTTGTAGAAATGTCTGCAATAGCCTTCTGGAACAAGATGTAGTGTGGTCTCAACACCATCCCTCGCGCTTCCTCCGGCCGGCAAGCGGTGGCAGCCCCGGCGCGGCACCTGCCGGCTCCCAAAGGAAGAGCAAAAAGAAAAGGAAAAAAAAAGATGCAAAAGCAAAGGAAGGAACCGGTGTCCACCCTTTTGGGAAGAGGTACCTGGGGGAGATGCACGGGGATGGCTCCAACTAGCTGGGGATTGGCATCCATGGGATCCTGGTTCCCCACCCCCTGCCCTCATCTGTTTGGGAAGGAAAAAGGTGGAGCCTCTGAGCTTTGCACCTGGGGCATCAGCAGCCAAAAATGATGAGCTGCCCACCATGGGGGGTGAGCCCTGCTGGGGGCTGCACCCAGCACCACAGCCAGCTCCAGCGGCTGAAGCACTTTTTTTTAGGGAAAGCACCTGGGCAGGAGGAGTGTCCCTCTGCCCTGGCTGTGTCCCCAGGTGGTGATTTTTGCAGCCATGGGTCAGAGTGCCATGGTTGCTGCTGGGGAAGCCAGGATGAGCCCTGGGGTGTGACCCTAGGCTCCCACCTGAATTGGGCAAAGCTTTGGCTTCGGCTTGCCCAGGGCTTACCTCCTGCAAAGGCACAGGAGCTTGGTGGTGGCACCACCCTGTGTTCCCTGCCACCTCCCACCACCACCTCTGCCAACAAAATGCCTTTAAACCACGCAGGGTGGCCCACACTGGGCTGCCTTGCCCTGTCCCCTGTCTGCATGGCATCAGTCATCACTGACCAAGGCCACCACCATTGGGAAGTCCCCCGCCAGGCTCCGAGGCTATGCATTGACTAATTTTCCACTGTAGACATTTTTATCAGAATAGAAGGTATTTTTATATTCAAGGAGCGATGCTCAGAGCGGCTCTGCCAAGGCAGGGCTCTCCTTGCCCTCCTGCCCTGCCCCAGCAAGCCCCAGCTTGCCCAAGGCCATTCTTTTCCCTGCCACCACACTGCAGAAGGTCGACGTGTGACCATGGACTGCTCTTCTCTGCCGTGTGCAAGCAGGAGCTTTAGTGGAACGGGATTCGAGGAAGCACTTAGGATAGTCTTGAACATGGCAATCCTGTTGTATTAAAGCTGGCAGGACAGACCGGTCACGTTTTTGTTAGGCTCATGTTCTGTACTTCAAAAGTTTCTATATGAGATCGATGAACTTTGTTTAAACATTTTTGGAAGGAACAAGTTCTGTAAAAGAGCCACTAAATACAGAAGTTGGATACAACTCTGGCCTTGGGGTGTGTTTTGTCCAGAGGTGGCTGGAATGGGCACCTGGGCTGATCTCGGCTCCTTTCACAGCTTTGCTTTGGGTTTATGGTGAGAGCTCTCACTGCCATCAACATCTCCTGGTGCTTTTGGGTAAAAAGAGGGTGTTAAATGGGGTTAGTCCAGCTCAGGCTGAAATCCTGCCCCTGAAAGTGCTGTGCTCATCCCTGGTGCAAGTTTGCTCCTTCTCCCCGGGGTAGCTCAGCATCCTTGTTTGTGAGGTTCAGCACCACGGCCTGGCACAGCTCTTCTCTGGAGCCTCCCATCACTGGGCAAGTTTGCAGCTTCTGACACAAGGCAGGGCTGTTTGCCTTTGATTAATTAATAAATCCATATGTTGCATATCTGTTAAAGCTTGTTTGTTGGCTAACATGTTGGGAAGGATTTATTTTTAATGAATATCTGAACGTCTGGAGAAGCTGGGCTGGCTGCCATGGAAACCGGAGTCTTCCTCTCAAGCTGACTGACAGGGCTGGGTTAACCATCTGGATGTGGTGGGTGAGTCCCTGTGGAGCACTGCCACCAATCCTGGTGAGGGGGACAGAGGTTTTGTCCCTGGCAAAGACCCCTTGGCAGAGGGCTGGGGACATTAGGAGGGATGGTTGTAATACCCCACCCAGCTGTAACAGCAGTAGGAGGGCTGGGGCAACTGGTGCTGTTTCCACCAGTGAAGCAGTAGGAGGGCCATGCTCCACATCAGCCTCCCAGCTCTTTCTTGGAGTGGCTTTTCCAATGCCCAAATTCCCATGTTGGTTGCCTGTGCCCGGTTGTTTGATCTGTCATGGAGGGCAGGACTATGCTGTCCCTGCTGTGGGACCACTCTGGTACTGTGTCCCAGTCTCCCCAGAGTGGCACCATCCTGTCCCACACCTCTATCTCATCCCATCCTCTCCTACCCCATCCCATCCATTCCACCCCATCTCTGTGGGCAGATGTGGGGTTCCAGGGCACTGCAAGACCCTGGCATCAGTCGTGTCCCACTCGGGTGACACAGTTCATGCCAGACCCATGGATGTGGTGGGAACAGGAGGGGATTGAAACAGATAAATAATTCCTACCTGGGCCCTCCTTCCCAGGGGCTTAAAGGCACAAATGAGAACCAGGGCTAGGAGGGAATTTCTGAAACAGCTTTTATTGTAGCAAACTCATGTGCCTGTCCACAAAGGGAGCCAGAGCCACCCAACCCAAACCTAATGCACTCCAACTGCTTCCCCAGCCCTGAGGTGGGTCACCTCACCTTCAGATTAGCAGCTTTACTGTCACTGGGGAAATAAAAGAGAAGCACCAGTGTCACGAGACGCTGGCTTTGCTCCCGCACATGAATCATTTGACACCCTCCACCGCTGACACATACGTTCCTGTTCACCGCTGCGAGTGATTCTTCCCCTTGGGATGATGCCCTGCCCTGAAATATCCTCCCAGCAAAATGGTGCTGGCTGCTACCACATCCTCTCAGGGTCTGTCCCCATGGCAGGGTCCCAGGCTGCAGGCAGCCATCACCCTGCACCAAACACCCGGGTGTCACCAGCTTCCCAGGGTACATGGTGCTGCTGCTGTTACGGAAGGGCTGTGCTTGCTGATATTTTCATTTTCAAACCACATCCTGCTGGAGCAGAGGGATCTGGTGGAGCTTAGCTGACTTCAGCCAGTCTCTTGTGCTGGACTGGGACAGGAAGGCGGTAGCAGACTCCCTGGCTATGAAACACCCACACAGGGTCTCAGGCAGGTGAGATCCCATTCAAATCCTCCTCCAAAAGCATTGCTGGTGCTTGACTCCTCTGCAAGGGCATCACAAGGCCCCACCAGACCGAGTGCAGTGGTTGATTCCTGGCAGATACCAGCCAGCATGTGGTTTGTAGCTTGTTTGCACTGGGTAGACAGCCCTGCACCTCTACGCAGGCATGGCCAGAGGGATTCACCCCTACAGGGAGCACCCACTGCCTTGCACAAGATGCCTGACAGCCTGGCAGCCCCGAGAGCCTGGGCATTTCATGTCTGGCTGGTGGCACACTGAGCCATCGGTGCTGGGGTGGCAGTTTGTCATCACGCAGCACCAGTGTCCCTCAGCCTTGGTGGCACCATCAGCAGGTGTCCATCACCACCATGGACAGCATGGCACATCCCTGAGTGAGGAGGGGACCGAGATGGCACCTAGGACAATCTCCTCCTCTCCATCATGGGTCCTGATGGGGCAGGCTGATGTGGTCCCTGGGGCTGGGTCACCTCTCAGAGCTGGGTCCCACGCTGCC